ATGCTGCAAATTTCAACAGAATCTCTCATGCTGAAATGGAGAAGGAGGCATGGGATATTATGGTGAAGTATTACGAAGGAGGTGAGAAAGTCAAGGTTGTCAAATTACAAACCTTGCATCGACAATATGAGTTGTTATCAATGAGAGAAGATGAAAAAGTTGCAGAATATGTGTCGAAGGTTCAGAAACTCATCCATCTCATGAAGGGTTATGGTGAAACCATTACTGATAAGATGATAGTTAAGAAGGTAATGAAAATGTTGACCTCTCACTTTGATCACGTTATCGTAGCTATTCAAGAATCCAACAATCTTGAAACCACTAAAGTGGAAGATTTGGTTGGTTCGTTAGAAGCGCATGAGATGAGGATTCTTAAAAGGAAGGGAGTTCAGGACTCGATACAGGCACTGCAAGCTCAGTCATGGAAAAAGGATGGTGGTTCCAACAAATTCAAAGGCAAGTTCGACAAGACTCATGGAAAGAAGTCTTGGTCGAATCCCCATAAGAATAAGGTCGAAGATGGATCTTCTGAATCCTCGAAAAGGGGAGGAGGAAACTATCGAAAGGACAAAGAAAATAAGAAAGGTATGCAGTGTTATAACTGTGAAAAGTGGGGACACTTGGCCAAGAATTGTTGGTACGTAAAAGACAAGGGATCAACAAGCAAGGACGAAGGAGTGAACCTTGCACGCCAAGATTCAGATGATTCTGAAGGTGGTATGGTGGTTATGGTTGCAGTTGCAGATAACCATGTCAAATCCAAGATCTGGTTTCTCGACTCGGGCTGCTCGAACCACATGACTGGTCGAAAGCAGTGGTTGGTAGATTTTGACGAGTCGAAGAAGAGCAAGGTAAAACTTGCTGATAATAGTTCGTTGTAAGCAGAAGGTACTGGCAACATAGTCTTTCAAATGAGTAATGGAGGGAAAGCTATGATCAAAGATGTGCTCTATGTACCTGGAATGAAATTCAACTTGCTAAATGTTGGACAACTAGTCGAAAAATGTTTCTCAGTTGTCATGAAAGATGGAGTTTTGAAATTGTTAGACACCAAGAACAATTTGGTCTTAAAATCTCCATTGTCGAAGAATAGGACATTTAAGACTATGATCAGTTCGACAGAAGTTCGAAGTTTGAAAACTGTTGTCGACCACAAGGATAGTTGGTTGTGGCATTTGAGGTTTGGACATTTGAATTTTTGATCACTTAATCAACTGATTACTCAAGATATGGTTACTGTTATTCCAAGCCTTGAGATGCCTGAAAAACTTTGTGAAGGTTGTTTAGAGGGAAAGCAATCCAGAAATTCTTTCGTTTCGACTATGTCAATGAGATCATCTTGCATTCTCAAAGTGGTGCATTCAGATGTATGAGGTCCATTCGAAGAACATATAATTGGTGGAAACAAATATTTTGTTTCGTTTTTCGATGAGTTTAGTTGAAAGTTGTGGATCTATATGATCAAATGAAAGGATGAAGTATTCGATATCTTTAAGAGATTCAAGATACTTGTCAAAAACCAGAGTGAGAAGAAGATCAAAGTTCTGCGAATAGATGGAGGTGGCGAATACACATCCAATATGTTTGAAGATTTTTGTGCATAACATGGTGTTGATCACGAGGTAACTGCTCCTTATACACCTGGAATTGCTGAAAGAAGAAACAGAACCATATTAGATATGGCGAGATGTATGCTGAAGTAAAAGAATTTTCCAAAGTCCTTATGGGGAGAAGCTGTTTCGAATGCAATTTATATTTTGAATCTGTGTCCTACTAAGATATTGAAGAACAAGGTTCCTGAAGAAGTGTGGAGTGGAAAACGACCACCAGTAAGTCATTTGAAGGTGTTTGGCTCTATGTGTTACAAGCATGTTCTTGATGCAAGGAGAAGGAAGCTTGATGACAAGAGTGAACCTATGATTCAGGTAGGATATCATAAAACTGGTGCATACCAACTATTTAATCCAGTTAATGAGAAGATTATGTTGAGTCGAGATATTGTGATTAATGAAAATTCTACCTGGGATTGGAATTCTAGAAATTCAATTAACAAGCCATTAATGAACTTTAATTTCAGAGAAGAAACTGATGAAGTAGAGGTCGAAGGAATTGTTGAGAATCTAGTCGAAGTCGAAGAAGAAGCAGTTGCTGACACTCTCGACACAGTCGAATTCGAAGAGGCTGTGGATGAAACAAGCTAAAGACCTCAAAGAAATAGAGTTCTTCCAACAAGATTTCATGATTATAAAGCGGTGGGTGATGATGAAATCACACCAGATGAAGAATTAGTTCATTTTTCTTTACTTGCAGGTGCTAAACCAATCAACTATAATGAAGCTTTGAAGATTAACAAGTGGAAGTTATCTATGGTCGAAGAGTCACAGGCAATCGAAAGAAACAACACATGGTAGTTAGTCGAATTGCCAGCACATACAAAAGCTATCAAGGTAAAGTGGGTGTTCAAGTTGAAACACAATGTAGATGGGTCAATAATAAGACATAAAGCAAGATTAGTAGCTCGAGTTTTTATTTAAAGAGCAGGACTCAACTACTCTGAAGTATTTTCTCCAGTAGCAAGATTATAGACTGTTCAACTAGTGGTAGCATTGGCATGCAACCAAGGCTGGTCGACATTCCATCTAGATATGAAATCAGCATTTCTGAATGGTCCTTTAGACGAAGAAGTTTATGTTACACAACCTCATAGGTTTGTGATTCTGAAGGAAGTGAGTAAAGTATATAGATTGCACAAAGCGCTCTATGGCCTCAAGCAGGCACCTAGGGATGGAACAAGAAGATCAACTCATACTTAGTCAAATTAGGATTTGTCAAATGCAAATCAGAGTATGGTGTCTATGTTCAGGTTGTAGCACAAGATATAACAATCATCTGCTTGTATGTTAATAACTTGCTAGTAACTGGAAATAGTTTGGAGAACTTGTCGAAGTTCAAAGAGCTGATGACGAAGGAATTTGAAATGCCAGATCTAGGAAAATTGTCTTATTTTCTAGGTATGGAATTTAAAATGTCAAAGTAAGGTATGATGCTACATCAAAGAAAGTATGTCAAAGAGATACTCAAGAGATTCGGAATCGATGATTCGAATCCTACATCCTCACCTGTCGAACCAAATGTGAAGTTGGAGAAGAATGAAGAGGAAGACAAAGTCGATGCAACTTTGTTCAAGCAAATTGTGGAATCTCTGAGGTATGTGTGCAACAGTCGATCTAGTATAGGTTTCGCAGTCGGATTAGTAAGCAGATATATGGGTGAACCAAGAGTGTCATATATGAAGGTTGCAAGAAGAATCCTGAGATATTTGAAGGGTTCAATAAATTATGGAATACTATTTCGACGAGATTCTGAAGGCAAAGAAGCAATAGTTAATTGTTTTTCAGATGCTGATTGGTGTGGAGATAAGGAAGATCGAAGAAGCACAACTGGATATTTCTTTGAAGTATTTGATGCCCCAATCTCATGGTGTTCGAAGAAGCAACCTGTGGTGGCATTGTCATCGTGTGAAGCTGAATATATAGCAGGATTATATGCTGCATGTCAAGCAATTTGGATCAGATCTGTACTTGAAGAAATGACTTTCGAAGGGAAGAAACCTAGTATTGCAAATCGATAACAAGTCATCCATAAATCTGGCGAAAAATCCAGTTCTGTATGGAAGAAGTAAACATATTGAAGCAAGGTTTCACTTCTTGATGGAAAAAGTAAATTAAGATGAACTTGAAGTTAGGCATTGCTTAAGTGAAGCACAATTGACTTACATTTTCACCAAAGGATTGAAGATTGACAGATTCCTGAATTTGAAAAAGAAATTAGGAATAGTTCAGATTAACTATTTTTGAGGATGTTCGACAACTTGGATTATGGGGGTGTGTTGAAATATTAAATTAGATTAGATTTAATATTTAAATATAATTTAAGTTGTGTTAGCCCAAACCCAATTAAGATTGTATATAAATAGACATAATGTGTATCATTATTTATACGATTCAATAATACAAATTTTTATTTCCTTTATTATTCTCTCTTTCTCTTCTCACTAAAAGTGTCTCACGCACTAACAAACTCTTAACGCGTAAAAGTAAACAATAAGAATAATTGACTTGTGTTGGTTTGGGTAAAACCACAAATTTTGGGTAAAACCACAAATTTCGGAGTTAAATTTAATTGAGTTATTAGTAATATGATTTTTTCTTATAATTATAAATGATGTGTCATGTTCTTTTTAAAAAAACACTTCAATTATTTTTCCCTTAAAAATGGTTTAATCTATTATCACATTCTTTTAGTATCAAATACCTAAACATATAATAAAATTCATCCTAAAAATACTTTCAATTTAGCATTAGCATCAAAATAATCAAACACATAATTATTCTAAATAAAGTTAAAATTATGATTGATAAAAAATAACAAGTTTTAAAGAGGTTAAAATTGAAACAACTAAGTCTAAATACATGAAACTCAGCTATTTTAAATGGTTTTTATTTTTAAATAGATATATTTTTAAAAGACTAAAGATAAAAATAGTATATTTGAATATTTTTAATTAAAAAAATGTAGCCTTTTTCAAATGAAAGGTGGCATGTTTTGGAACGGTAGATGAATCTGAGGGGCATAATCTGGGAAAGTTACTATACTATTCCCGCAGAGAATCCTTGTCGGGAATTTTTGGGTGTATGAAAACTGCCGGCCACTAAGGTTAGTTTGTGTCTGTAGAATTGAGATCCTCGTCTTTCTTTGTAAAACCCTTTCTCTTTCTAGGTTACAATCTAATCCTCTTTTTGTATTTTTGGTTACGAATTGAATTTTATTTGGTTTATGTTTCTCTTAATGCGGGTTTTTTTTGTTTAGTATAAAAGATTAAAGATTTACATCCATGTAACCAGGCTTGTATTTGGTTGATTGACTAATAAATTGTCTGTCAATGTTTCGTTGATTGCAGTTTTGAGACTGCTCCATAGGTCTATTGTTGAGTGGTGAATATGAACTTTGCTGCACCATCACTTGGTTCTGTTGGTAAGTTTTACGATTATGCCTGTGTTGTGGGAAATGGCTATTCCATTATTTACTATGACTCAATTTTAGGTGGTAGATCTGCTGCTAGAGCGTTTGAGTTTGGAAGAACCTATGTAGTCAGGCCTAAAGGTAAACACCAAGCAACCATAGTTTGGTTGCATGGCCTCGGGGATAATGGCTCCAGGTGATATAACACACTACCTATTTCTAATCATGTGGTTGTAACTGTAACTCCAAAGACAGAACCATTATTTAACTCATCACTTTTGCAGTTGGTCCCAGTTATTAGAGACCCTTCCTCTTCCCAATGTAAGGTTACAATGCTTATGCCGGGTTTGTTATATGTTTTTTCTTTCTTTCCAATTAGATAATATCTAAACTTGCAGATTAAATGGATATGTCCAACTGCTCCTACTCGACCAATGTCTGTATTTGGTGGCTTTCCTTCTACAGCCTGTAAGTCTGATTATTGCTATCAACTATTAGCGTACAAGGTGCTGCCATACGTAGAATTAAGCATCCTTTCCATATTTAATACTATTACTTTATGTATCACAATGCATTCAAGGAGAGAGGTGATACTCGGGTTTAAATCTTAAAATAACCTTAAACTGGTCCTGATAAATTTCTTAACTGCAACTTTATGTCCTTTTAGGGTTTGATGTGGAAGAGCTTTCTGAAGACGCTCCCGATGATCTTGAAGGTTTGGATGCTTCAGCCGCACATGTTGCCAATTTGTTGTCTACAGAACCCGCAGACAGTAGGTTTCTTTTATGAAATTTTCTGTCAATGCTTGTTTGATGCAAGGTTATATAAAACATAACTATATAATAGAATTAAGAAATAAATATGACATAATGTTAAAAGGAAAAAGGAAAAGAGGAAGAACATTTTCCATCCATTTAATATTAAATAAAATGTGAACTTCTACTTTGTGCAACCCATGTTGATGCTTAAGGCTCTGTTTGCGAGTTAGGATGGGAGGGAAAGGGAGGGCTTCCGGAAAAGGCGATTTAAACGAAAAATAGAGAAATCCCTATAATATTTTGAAAGAATGATTTTGTATAGAACGATAAGTGAATGTTTGTCATTAATGTATTTTTATTTTGTATCATGAATAAAGTTAAACTCTCTCAAACCCTTCACACCTAAATCCTTTAATTCTTTTCACCTTATCCTTCCCAATTTTCAAAGTCTTCCTCTCCCTTTCCTTTCCCTCCAAGCTCCCAAACAAAGCCTAAATGTTGGCCAACAATGAGATCAATTCTTAGTATAGTTCAATTTTAATTTGCATAAAAATGAAAATTATCCAAAGAGCTTATTTTGATTATTTATCACAAGTACATTTATAATCATTCAACTATGTATGCAAATGGTTGTGAATGTACTTTTTAAACATAGTGTAAGGAATAATGTTTGTATATATGCTTAATTTCTCAAAACCTTGCCACATTTATGCTAAGGAAGTTAGAATGAAAGTAGTTAGTAATCATCAATTTCAGATGCTGTTGGGGGCAATGAACTTTGATACTAATTTTATTTCTCTCGGTTGTATAGTGCTTGTCAATCATATAAATTTGGTTTTATTAAATGTTAAATTAATTTCAATTTTGATATTTGTGGCAGTTAAGCTTGGTGTTGGAGGGTTTAGCATGGGGGCAGCGACTGCCCTTTACTCTGCATCCTGCTTTACTGCTGGAAAATATGGGAATGGCAATGCTTATCCAGCCAACATAAGTGCTGTTGTTGGTTTAAGTGGCTGGCTTCCATGTTCAAAGTATGTCCTTTTTCTACTTTAACTCATCATGTTGCAAAAAAATCACTCTTAGTACAATGAAATTGTTATCTTACTGTTGTTGTCTAGGACTTTGAGTGACAAGTTACAAGGTGTAGATGAAGCTACAAGGCGTGCTCAGTCTTTTCCCATTTTGATGTGTCATGGAAAAGGTAATCTCATTGAAATTGTTTTGGTAGATCATTAAAGAGAAGGGGTGAAATAACATTAGCATACATATATTATTTCAGGTGATGATGTGGTTCCATATAAGTTTGGTGAGAAATCGTCGAAATGCTTAAGTTCTAATGGATTTCAGGATGTAACTTTTAAAGCTTATAATGGGTAATTAACAAAATATATTTCTAAAATTTTTGCTCTAGATTTTATAGAATCCTTATCTGTTGCTTCATTTTGATTCACATTACAATAGGCTTGGCCACTACACAATTCCAGAAGAGACGGATCATGTTTGTGCTTGGCTAACATCAAAACTGGGACTTGAGGGCAATGCTGCCTAGTTTGCATTACCAAAAATGTGAACAAAATATTCATTTACATTTTTCTATTGCTTGTATTATTATTACTATTATTTAATATTATTTGTGACGTTGTCACCAAGTATCTTGTGGTATTGATTAAGAAAACATTAAGTATTTATTGGAATTTTTTTTTGGTTAACAATGCTTTGCATGTTGTATTTACAAATTTCTCACTTCTAATTTTTTTTTTGATGAAAACAATATCATTTTACTATTCTATACTTACCCAACTTTAAACTCTAAATCTGGTTGCTTTGTTTTGGATATTTGACACTCAAGATATCTCCTCTTGTTTTTCAATTTTAAAGTTTATCAAAGAATTACAAATTTGTTTGCAGAAACTATTTCAGATTACTCATTGCTCAAGTGGTTATATATTGTAAACCGTTTTTGAAACTTGAGAATATATTTTTAAAGCAATTTCATACTCCAAAAACCGTTTTAATAATTAAATATACAATCATTTTGATCTCTCATTATAATTTCTAAATGTATTAAAATTATGAATACGTTTTGAAATATAATTTTATGGACTAAATTGATTTATATAAAACACATTAATCAATAATAAAACATACGTAGGGGTGTAATCAGATCGATTTGGATTGGTTTTTGACCAAAAAAAAGATCCGAATCAATGATATTTTCTTCAGTTTGATTTAGTTTGGTTTTTAAACCAAAAAAAAGATCCGAATCAATGATATTTTCTTCAGTTTGATTTAGTTTGGTTTTTAAACAATGGCGCCAAGCAACGAGGAGAACTTGAACACGAAGAAGATAACAATAACAAATCAGAATGAAAAGTTCAGTGAAAGTAAATATACTCTTAAAAAGAACCTTTTACATCTCAGACAGTTTGGTAAGTTGGATGTCTGTAATATACATACATGCCTCCAAAAAATAAAAACCATAGCTGCCACCAAATAAACTATACAATCAATCATTAATACACAGAAACAAATGCATAGACGAACGCAGAAAGCCATAGAAAAGTGTGAAATTCGGGGCAAGAATAGTTACTCCAAATTGTGTAAAGTGTTATCCCAGCTAAAAGGCTCAAACACATGGAAATCATTTGACTTGAGCCTCTTTAACAAAAGCAACATCTTCTGTGGTAGCAAGAGGTGAGAGAAGGCATTTTGCCTGTTCAGCATCTAATTCCATTGATTCACCAGGCGTGGCAGTTGATAGAGAATCAGTAACTTCATCTTCTGCAAACAAACATTCACCAAAAGAAAGTAAGAAAGTGGAAAAAGTTTCAAGTATGCGCAGGTGAAAAAAAGAGTATACACACCAGAATGGTATTCAGGTAGCTGTTTAACCGTAGTTACTTGAATACTATCTGGAAGTAGACAGCTACATAAGGAACCTGAGATTTTGACCACAAGGATTCACTAAGGAATATTCTGATTGTGAAATTAATGCAGAAGTAAATGTAAGTATGGTCTTACATACCTATCCTAGCCAGTCGATTAACCCAACCAGGGAGGCGTTTTCCGGTCAATCTACCTGAGATATCATCTGTGAAATGATTACAGTTCTTAGATATAAGGTGATAGGTATCTCCATGATACTCACTAGCCATGTTCTCGATAAATGTCCGAAACTCGGAAGGATGCATGTTTACTTGGCCCAAAGGGACAGAAGTTCTGTACATAAATCCAGGGCACTTCCTTGGCTCCACTTCAAATACTCCACTTGATGGGAAGTCATGAGCTCCAAATCCATACTCCTTACCATGTACTATTCAAACACATAATTAAAACATCATAACCAAACTGATTTTTTCAACACCTATAAAATCTTCACAATAATAGATATTAAACCAAACTAGTAAAACTTTTCAACAACAATAATTTCTAATCACCCATAATTTAAAACAATGGCATATGAATGAGAAAGATTACCAAATTCCAACTATTATTATTGTTATTATTATTATTATTATTATTATTATTATGTAGGTTAGATTTTTGGATGTTTTTTTTTAAATGAATGACAATTACATATGAAACATATTTTATTATTATTTTTCAGTCTAATGAGGAGAATTTCATGAATAAATGAGATGTCTTCGAATATGTCCACATGCAATTAGAAATCTTAGCAAGAAACTCATCATGAAATAGGATTTACATGCAATTAGATATCTTAGCAAGAGAAGAAATATGGAACAAGAAACTCATCATGAAATAGGATTTTGTAAGAGAAAAATTATATTTAATAATGCAATAAAAAAATGTGAAAAAAGAAAAAAAAGGTGATGGTAATTGGAATCAAACCTTGAATGCCTGAGTGAAAAATTCCAAATCCCAACCAATATAAGTAATTATTGAGAGGGGTGAGATCGTATACATTCAACACAACATTTGTGGTGTTGTTGTTTTTGTTATTTGTATTTTCTCTTTGAGATTGGGATGTAGAATTGAAGTTGCTCTTCGTCCCCATTTTGATTTCACAGAGATTAATGGAAATCCCTGGGGAAAAAGGATTGCAAATTGGAATTAATTCGGATTTATTAATTCTTATATTATTTATATTATTATTATTATTATTATTATTTATATTATTATTATTATTATTATTATTATTATTATTATTATTATTATTATTATTATTATTATTATTATTATTATTATTATTATTATTATTATTATTATTATTATTATTATTATTATTATTATTATTAGGGTTAATACCTATTTTTACCCCTGACATATGGGGTGTATTTGAAAAATCCCCCTGCCAAAAAAAAGTTTCAATTGTTACCTTGATAAATTTTAAAAGTTTCAGTTTTTACCTTAATGATGTCACATCACCTAAAAGGCTGATGTGGCTTATATTTTTGTTACAGTTGTAAGTTTTTTTTATGCCATGTCACACAATACACAATAAAATATCCAAAATGCCCTTTCTACATTTTTCTTAAAATCCCAAATTATTTGGCAAATGGTATGTTTCAATTCAGACCCTCCACCTCCAAATTAGGGCGCAACCATCTTCATCTCAGCAACCCAACTTTTGCTTTCCTCTTCATCTTTAAGTTTTCTTTGATTTCCTAAACATGAGTCAACCAAATTGTTCTACTTCATGCTTATCTTCAAATGGTAGAGTAACTCCCAAATGCGGCCACAATGTCTCCATGAAGTTATTTGTTTCAAAATCGGTTGCAAATCCCGGGAGAAAATACTGGAAGTGTAAGTTCTGGGGTAAAGGAGATGACTGCAACGCATTTGTTTGGGATGATGAATTTTCTAATGATTTCGGTGATAACGGCCATTTGGATGTAGTTTCAGTAGAACTGATGAGCAAACTGGAGAGAGATATCGCACTGAAGATGGAAGCCATGGAGAAAAAAATGGATGAGTTAAAAAAGAAGCTGAATTATGTTTTAGTTGGGTTTATTTGTCTTTTGGTTCATTTCTTACTTAGTTCATGTAAAAATTCATGAAGCTGTGGCTTATGCTCTAGGAAGTTGTAACCTATGTAAAATTTAGTTCATGAATTATATTTCTTTGTTATGGAATATGAAATATATTTCTTTCTTATGGTTTCTTATGGAATATATTTGCTAAGTCTGTTCTGATATATTGTTAAGTAAAACTGTTTTGGAATATTTTGGAAATCTGTTCTGATATTTTGGAAATCTGTTCTTAAGCAATTCTGTTGAGTAATTCTGTTGTACAAAATCTGTTGTTAAGCAAATCTGTTGTTAAGTAATTATGTTCTTAAGCAAATTTGTTGTACAAAATGACAATAACATAGTTAAGCCAATCTGTTGTGATACATAGTCAAGCAAATCTGTTGTACAAAATGACTTTAACATTGTCAAGCAAATCTGTTGTGATACATAGTCAAGTACACGTGTGATACAAAATGACAATAACATGATACATAACTTAAGCCAAGCCTGTTCTGATAATAAGTCAAAGTAACAAAATGACACAGGAAACTTTCAAATTGAATTTTACAAAATAGCACACTATGTGCACAACTACTGATCAATGCCCTTCCTCTTCTTCCTTGATATCTTCTTTGAGGTACTACCACCAGTTTCTTCATCTATGGTCAAAGGTGCATCAGGTGTTGATCCAGGCCCACCATGTCTTTTGGCATTCCTCACTTCCTTCAATCTTTCACTGACTCTCTTTCTTGATCGCTTCCAAGGCACGACCACGACCTTTTTCCTAGCTGAAGGTTTTTTGACATTAGTAGCAGCAGGGTCAGGTTGCATTGCAGCAGGTTGTGAATCATGTGTTGGGGGAGGTTGCATTGCAGCAGGTTGTGATTCATGTGTTGGGGGAGGTTGCATAGCAGTAGGTTGTGTGGGATTGTCAACTTGTGATTGTTGTTCTTCATAAAGATCCATCATATTATTCAGCAATGCATCCATCTATGGGCCTTCATCCACAGTTCCACCTCCAGTTTCAGTTGTATCAACATTTGCATCCATCTCAGGGCCTTCATCCACAGTTCCACCTCCAGTTGCAGTTGTATCAACATTTGCATCAGATTTTTTTGACACTTTGGTCCTGTTGCATTATTCAGAAACAGATATAAATAAAGACATTTCAATATGCTGAACACAATATTATTCAGTAACAGATTCATGAACACAATACCTTTCTCTTTAGTGCATTAGGATCTTGCTCCTTAGCTTGACACTTCCTAGAATTATGGCCAAATTTGTCACAATGAGTGCATCTATATGCTACACATACCCTCCTCATCCTTGAACCATTCTCATCCAACTCTCTAAACCTCAGTTTCTTAGGCCTTCCAGGTCCCTTCTTGTATTGTGGTGGCAACAATTCTTCAGCATCCACAGTTGGCCACATGTCCATGCCATTTATTGGACTAACATTGTTTTCATAACATGCCCTGTAAGCTTCTCTCATGTAACAAGGGTCAACATATTTCTCAGGATCTAAGTTTTGATACTGTAATGCAGAAACAGCATGCCTACAAGGTATGCCCACAAGATCCCAAAAACAACAAGTACAGGTTTTTTTCCCAATATCAACAACAAACTGCAATCCATTATATGGGTGATGGACTTGCCACAAATCACCAATGCTCCATGTAGGCAGCCATTCTCCACTAAGATATGTTTCCTTATCAAGCCTTTTCCTAGGATTAGGCATGACATTGTGCTTCCACTTATCAAGCTTAACAACACTATTAGCAATCCTATTCATCACGTAGTTCCTAATCTATTCTACCATAGTGAGTATTGGCTTATCCCTAGCTTGTAATATTGTACTATTGAAAGATTCACTCAAGTTATTCATCAAAACATCACACTTAGGGTAAAATGAAAATGAATGCTTACACCATAGTTTTGTTGGCACTCCCATCAGCCATTCCCATGCCTTCTTATCAATTTGTTTAAGCTGGTTCATCTTCTTCTCCCAAGCCTGGAAGTAAGTAGCCTTTGCAGCCCCTAATAACAGGTCTCTAATGGCAGCTCCCCCTCCAAATTTCTTCTTGAAATTTGCATACAGGTGTCTGAGGCAGACCCTGTGTTCAACTTGCTGATGCATTTCCTTAAAGACACTAACAAGTCCCTAAAAACAGCAAGACAACAGAAAAAAGCATGTACATATTAGCAGAATTAGTGCATATTAGTGCAAAATTAGTGCATATTTCATAAATGTGAATAACAAAGGTAATTAGTGCATATTTGTACCTTTTGTTGGTCTGAAATAAAAACATACTTTCTCTCTTCTCCAATGTCTTCCATTAGCAATTGCATAAACCATCTCCAACTTTCTTTTGTCTCAGTCTCCACCACACCAAATGCCAAAGGATAATATTGGTCATTCGGGTCCCTTGCTACAACAATTAACAACTGACCTCCATATTGTGTCTTAAGATGACACCCATCTACCCCTATAAATGGTCTACAACCCTTGGTAAACCCTTTCTTGCATCCATCAAAACAGAAGTAAAATCTACCAAATCTTAGTGGTAGTGTTGGATGTGGTCTCTCAGTATTTAGTTTGACAGTGTTCCCAGCACAATGTTTTCTCAACTCAGCTGCATATCTCCATAACATGTTATACTGTTCCTTTGCATCACCTTCAATTATTTCTTCAGCCATAACTTTGGCTCTCCAAGCTTTCCCTTTGGTAATGCCCACTGAATATTTCTGTCTAAGCTCAGACATAATTTCAGACAGTTTAACTTTCCCTTGTGACTTCCTCTTTTCAACCACTAACTTAGAGACCCACTTGGAATTGGCAGACTTGTTATTTAATACCCTTGCACATGTGTGGGTCCCCACCCAAGTCTTTATCTGGTAAGTGAGGCTACCTCCCACTTTGCTACACAATGCCAAAAACCCACATTTACTCTGACACTCAACCCTAACCCTACAACTCTCATTCTTAACAAACCTTATTTCTCTACCATTTAATACTGACCAATCCCTGATAGCATCTCTAAATTCAGAAAGAGAAATGAACTCCATACCTAATTTGAATTGAAAAGTCTTTGTTAAGCAGCTATGATCTGAACTTCTCATACTTTGGCTTGGAAGGTTTGTCATCCATGTCACTTTCATCAGCATCTGAACTTTCAAGTTCCTCACTAGCATAATCCACATCTTCACATTTCCTTGTAGCCCTCTTTGAACAAGATCCTAAGACACTTTTGGGCACCAAAACACATACCTTGTCCCTTTTTCTCTTTTCTTTCATCTTTTTGGGATCCTTGGATGCACAACGCTTGAATCTAAATGATTTCCCTTCGATCTCCACCCTATTCCCACTAACTGGAACATCTACCTCCACTCGTTCAAATTGCTCTTCTTCTACGTCAATTACTCTTTCCTCTTCACTGTCATTGAAACATTGGCTTGCATCAACATAGTCACCACTACTATCATCTCCACTAGAGGTGCTGAAGTCATCAACATTAGGTACCAGAACCTTGGTCATCATGTCTTCTACACCGTGCTCTACCCAAATATCGCCGTGAACCCTACAAGGCATACAATGCTTAGCAACTTCTACAGCTCCTGCATCATCAACAACATTTGTAAACCCTTCATCCGTTTGCGGAATCTTTCTCCATAACCTAAAACCTTCATAACCCCAATCTTTAACCAGAGTAACAGCTTCAAAAAAGCTCCATTTATCTTCGTCTTGACCTTCAACAGTAGTCTCACTACCTCCTCTATAATACGTATGGCCTTCTTGCACGAAACTTCCCCCATGATGAAACACTAAATTAAACACACCCATTTGCAAGGATGAAGAACCCCAATCGCAGGGTCTGAATTGAAACTGGCTTTTTTTGTAAAATAATTTTACAAACAATCTGAGATGAAGATGGTTGCGCCCTAATTTGGAGGTGGAGGGTCTGAATTGAAACATAACATTTGCCAAATAATTTGGGATTTTAAGAAAAGGGCATTTTGGACATTTTATTGTGTATTATGTGAC